GTCCAGAGTAGGGTCACTGGCAGGGCCTCTGGGTGGATAGGTGGCCTGGTGTAGTGCTGGTCTGGATGGAGGTCACACTCTACCACCCCTTCTATAGGGGTGGGCTACCTGTGACTCCAATAGGGACAACATGCCCTGAAAAGGGCCAGTACTGCTCAGATGAGGACATGCAGTTCCAGGTGCATTCATTGTCTGGTGTAGTACAATGGTGGAGTTGCTGGTTTCTGTTCTGTCATTTGTTTCCATGTTGCTGGTTTCTCAGAGGGTCTTTATTTTTCAAATGTTGGGTTTTGTCTCTGGTTCTGGGAGTAGGTCTGTGGTTTCAGGGAGAATCAATGCAAGGCAGTGGTAGCGTCATTAAGATGATGTTCCGGTCATTCAGTAGGAGCTATTTTTAGGCCTACTGCCATTATGTCTCAAGCACTCTCATTCTCTCTCATTCATCCAGGGAACCAATTTACATAGGAGGGGTAGGTATGAGTCACAGTTATAACAGAATTACAATAGGGTCTGCCCAGGCATAGGACACAAGATGGAGACTTGACAATACAAGATGGAGACTTGATATTACTCTGGCTAACTTACAAAAACAGGTCTGAATCATACAATATCAATATAAGACAGATAGTAAAAATAGTGATCACACAGTAATAAACAATAAAAATCAATACCAAACTAACAGAACACTATTTACATGGTGTTATAACACTATTTACATGGACAATATAAAGGGAACTTGTTACAGTAATGGAATACAAGAACTTATCCTAACATACCTATGACCACTTATAACTACTTATACGGAACAGAGAGGGCAGAGAGAAAGTCAGAAATGGTTGGGGAAGGGGAAGCAATGTATTTCTAAGTTAAAAAAAGAAAGAAAGAAAAACTGGGGGTTTTGCTACAATGGTAATCATTAATATTGTTAGACAATCTGGTAACTACAACATGTGACTCTTTCCATGTTGCTACTGGATCATTCTTTCAAAGCAACCGGTATACTCTTGTAGCTATACCATTCCCTTGAATCAGGATTGCAGTCAGTTATATGAAGGATATAGCTTATTTTCTATATGAGGATGCTGATATTAGAATGTTGGGTTGTATTTTTATTAGTAAGTTTTTTAAGGTGTGGGGAGGTATGTTTTATGGAGATGCTTTTTCTGTCTTGTGGAAAAATCCAAGAGTATTGCAATCTCTAGAGTTGTTGAAGGGACTTTGCAAGCAGTAAATCCATCTGAGATTTTTTTTAATATTAAAAGAAGAAAAAATAAAACAAAACAAACTGTTTCTAACATCTGGGCTTCTGTGGTATATCAATACTTTGGAGATTTATTAACAACACAATGTCAATACTTCCACAGTCCTCCACAATCCTTTCACAGTCTTCAGCACACACTGAAGACCACAAAACAGGTTCTGAATATACCTCCACAATTCATTACTGTAATTAACAATGACTTCTTTTTGCCCAACACAGGTGACACACTGGAATAGCCCATATTTTTTTGCCTACTTCCCTGTCGCCCATTCCTTCCCAGCTCTTCTGGCAGATATTTTGTCTGGCGGCATAGGATGTATGGGCTTCTCCTGGGTAAGTTTACTGTGGCACATGTTGCTGTATAAGATATAGGACCAATCCTGCAAACACTTAAACAAGTGAGTAGCGGGGAGTACTGAAGTTAATAGGGATACCTATGGAGGTAAACTGACTCATGTGCTTAAGTAGGAACTACTGAATGACTTGGATAATGGCGTCGTGGCCCTAGTAATTTTTGTCCTCAAAAGATGGAGACAGTCAAGAGCAAAAACCTTCTGTCCATCCTCATTTTCTAAATGGACACTGCCAATCTGAAAAATAAATGCTGTCCATTGTGATACTATGTGAGGGAGCTTCCTGAGGAGTTGCCTAATTAGCTCAGCAGTAAAGCATCACCATCTACATGCATGGCTGGAGTAAACTAATTAACTCCGCCATAGGTTAGTACTTACTACTCTACCGCAATGAATGTGTATCTCTGGTGACCAGGGCTGTCTGGGACATGAGGGTGTTACAGTGTGGGGGGCTGCCTACTGGCTAGCCCTGCATCATAGCACCCTCATGTCCCAGCCAGACCCTCCACAGCATGTTGAGCTAGGGCGGACCAGCTCTGGGCTGGCAAGCTGACCCCCTGGGCACCCTGCCAGCTGTAGCTCAGCTCAGTGGGCTGTGGTCCCGGGAGCAAAAAAATCCAGCATAAACTGTGCCAGAGTTTATTGTCATACTAAATTCACATGTAAACATGCACTGTATGTTCCTAAATTCCCCAGCCACCATTTGTGATTATTTTTTAATGTTATAGTTTCCTTTCTGTTTGCATGTGTTTTAAATGTTATTACTCATGAAAGACTTGTGGAAGCAACAGCGAATGGCTAATTAATTAACTGTTGTGGGTAGCCAGTGAAAAAGGCATGCAAAAATACATGGTTACATTAGAGAATGTTCACTATCCCCTGATCCAGGGGTGGGCATTATCCTCTAATTCAGGTAGACGGCCACTTATTGAGTTTTGGTAAGCTGCCAAGGGCCGCAAGGGTAGCCCTGCCTCTTACCCCCGGAAGTACTCCATTTGGGAGGGGGGGATTGCCAGAAACAAACCAAATCATCTACCAAAAGTCAAACACCTACTATAATACATTTTATTTTAATTACAAAAAATATTTTATTGTGATTTGTGTTTGTGTACTGTATATAGAGATGATTACACAATAACTCAAAAATCAAGTCTTGCTCTTGTAAATTGTGGGGGGGCTGGAGGTGGGGGGTGTATGGTGGGATGTGGAGAGTGTGCATGTGGTGGGGTTTGTGAGGGGGTGTGGCTGTGTGTGGGGGCAGTGGGGGATGTTGGGGGAGTTGTGGGGTCAGGGTGTGGATGTGTGGGCCCACCCCCCATGATGCACAGCCCTCACTGCCAGCAGCAGCAGCTTGGGGCAATTGTGGCCTGCCCAAACACTGCCACCCAGTGATGCACAGCGCCAGCTAACACTGCACGTGGTGGTGAGGAGCACAGTCAGGCCAGCCCATCTCTATTATGTGGGGCTCCCCAAGATGCATGTGGAGCTCCCAGTACTTGCACACTACTGGGGGAAGCCCCACATGATGGAGCAACCTGACTTCCCCACCCCTGCCATGCAGGTCCCAGGCCTCTGTTGGGAAGCATGGGGGAAGCTGTTCCCTCCACTTCCAGTAGAGTGCCAGGAGCTGCTATGAGTACTCCAAGCACCTGATTGCTGCTACTGCTGGTTGGTGGCAGGGGCTGTGCACCATTGGGAGGAGTATGCTGGGGGGTAGTCTTCACATCTCCCTGCTCTCCCTCACACCCACACCCTGCTGACCCAACCTCTGCACTCCTGCCGCCCCCCTGGGCACAGGCTCCATGCTCCCGCCAGCCCCCACCCAACACTCTACACTCCCACCCAGTTGCAGCTCCCCCTCCTCCCACCACTGCCACTTCCCTACCTGCTGCCTGGAGTAAGCACTGCAGAGCCATGAGGAGGAGCTGCTGGATGCCAGAGAAACTGAGCAGGTGCCCCGGTGGCTGCAGCAGTGGCAGCTGCTGCCCTGCTTGGAAGCTGCATGCTGGCTAGGGTTGCCAACCCTCCAGCATTGCCCCAGAGTCTCCACGAATTATATATAAATCTCCAGGAGACTGCTGAGAGTCACCCAGGAGATAAATGATAGGACATTCATTAAAATAAATATCAACTATTGAATCTAATTTACATGGTAGTCCAGTGGGTTTTTTAAAATGTAATAGTAATGTGCATTTGCCTTCACTAATGTCATTATGTCATGTGATGAAACCTCCCGGAATAGATTCAAAGAGAGTTGGCAACCCTAGTGCTGGCTGGGCCGAGCTGTTCTGTGCACAAGGGTGGGAGCAAGGCACACAGGCTGGGCAGAGTACAACTAGTTGGTGGGCACCTGTGGGCAGGGCCATCCCTGGGTGAGGGGTGAATTGGGGCGACCACCCCAGGCCCCATGCTTTGGGGTACCCCGCAGACAGTACTGTATTGGCCCTGCTGCAGCCACTGCGTGCCACTAGCTCCATGCTCTGGCCACTCACCACCCCACCCTCACCCCCCACCCTACACTTCTGTCACTCGCCAGCCCCTGGCCCCACACGGGCTGATATGCCCCAGACCCCACACAGGGGCGGCTCTGCCTGCGGGCTGGATGAAATTGGCTGGTGGGCTGGATTTGGCCCAAAGGCAATAGTTTGCCCACCCCTGTTCTAATCACATTCCTTTATGATCATTTTAGGAGTTAGAAATGTCAAATTGTAGAGAAAATACTTCTTTTTAATAGGCAGTGTTCCTTCAAAATACTTTATTATGCAGGTAGCTTTTTTTTTAAGGTTCCCTTTTCTAACAAAGAATTAAAAAAAAAGAATTAAGGGTCCCAATATTATGATAAAATTATTGGAAAGTTAAAGTGTTTCAGGGAACTGCTAATGATTTAAAGCAGTGGTTCTCAACCATTTTAGACTCAAGGCACCCCTCCATAACTTTATGAATTGAGTGGCACTACATTTCAATACCTAATTTATTTATTACAATCCTTACCTCCTTGGAGAGGGGCCAGGAAAGCAACCAGGCAGATAGAGCCTGAACTTAGTTTATCTAGTTTGCTCCTCCCACTGCCTTTATCTCCTTAGGCTTCCAGAGGCACCCTTCAAAGGATCTCACGACACCCTGGTTGAGAATCACTGGTTTATAGAGACTGTCAACCTAAAATCACTGTTCTGAATCTTGCCCAAAACATCAGTATGTCGTCATTATTACTAATGTGATATTTGCTTGCAGGCCTGACTGAAAAAATTTGCTAATTCCATCCAGTTCCTACTGGGAATAGGTCCACAAACACAAAAATAATTGTGATTGGAAACTGTAGGGCCATAGGAAACTTCACTTCCCTCTTAGCTTCACAGGGATGATCTTCACTGGTCAGAATCAGTATGAGCTATATAAGGAGCATGGCAAAATCTACTGGCCTGGCTGTGTCTGTCCTCCTGGCCTTGTAGATATGAAGTCTACTGTGCTTTCACTCTACTGTACTTTCAGCCTGACATTTTTCACTGAGCCCCCAATCTGTTTAAAAATTACAGAGTTTGGGAGGGTTTGGTAAATCACAAACTGAACGTGAGTTAGCAACGAGACACAGCTGCAAAAAAAAAAAAAAAAAAAAAGCAAGTGTAATTTTGAGGTTCATTAAGAGAAGCCTCATGTGCAGCACACAGTAAGTAAACCCCGGTCAGTACTGGTTAGGTATCAGCTGGAGTATGATATGCAGTTCTGGGCTCCACACTTTAAGAAAGATGCATGTCCCACAACAGGAGTTTTTAAAATCTGTAGTAGGAGTACAGTATACATGGTGCTCACCTTTTCCTGCAAACTACCATGTTGGATACTTTCTCTCCCATAATAACCAGCATGCTGGCAATTAAACCAAGCTTTCTCCAGTCTCTGCTACTAAAAGACATGAAGGAGCTGGTTGGACAGGTGAGATAACTCTTTATTGATTCTTTGGGTAAATCTGATATCTTTTATCAGACCAACTAAAATAGTTAGAAAAATTCTTTTTTTCAAGCTTTTGGGAACAATTACCTTTGTCAGGCAGAGGAAGCCTCATTAAGCCTGACAAAGCGTGTTTGTACCCAAAAGCTCGCAAAGAAGAATTGTTCCAACTATTTTAGTTGGTCTAATAAAAGATATCAGATTTACCCAGATAACTTTGTCTACCTATGTCCTTAGACCAACAGGGCTACAACCTACACACCGGATTGCTCTTTATTAATATTCTTCTGACTACTCTACAGTTTTACTATAAGGCTGCATTCAGCTTTCATAATGAAGCATAAGAAAGTACCTGGGGTAGGGATTTCAGAGGCCAATAGGTGGTAAACATTAACTTTCAAATGGTGGTCATTGTTTTATTCCCTTTGTTTCCTCTTCCAATTCAGGCTGCAAGCCCAGCTTGCACAGAGCTGGAAACAGTCATGTTGGATTGGCTGGGGAAGATGATTAATTTGCCTGAAGAGTTTTTAGCTGGGAGGGACGGAGAAGGTGGAGGAGTCATTCAGGTAAGATGAAAGAAGACAGCAGAACATGCAATGAGCTGGAAGATTTTCATTACTAATATAGTCTTCAAACTAGCCCTGTTGTTGATACAGCCTTAAGTTTATCCTGTCAAAGTGTTTTTATTTGCGATTTTACTGGATATTTTTTATTAAAGTGTGGTACAGTGACATCCTAGCTTCAAAAATCTGCTCTGAACATTGTTTGTCTTTTGCTTGAGAGAACACCAAAGTAAAACTTAGCTTCTCTTTCCTTGTCTAGTGATTCCAATTTAGTCTGACCTGGGTCCTCTTTACAATGTAAAAGGCAGCAGGCCAAGGATACAAGGAGTGACATTTTCCCTGTCCTCTTGCTTTGTTTCTCCTTTCCTGTAGTTAGGCACAGGGTGACAGCAGGGGAAATTCATACTGAGTGATTAAAATATTTATTTCGTCAGGTGAGAGAATGATGCAGTTTAGCAAGTTATGTGTAGGACCAGGAGTTTTAACTTGCCTCTCATGCCCAGGTTCATATAGGTTTGGCAAGTCGGTTAGCTTTTCTTTATTTAAAGTTTTCCCATATGCAAATTCTAGATAATGGTAATTTGCCTTCCTCATAGGAGGATTTTTAGGCATAATTAATATTTCTAAAGCACTTTGAGGCCTCTTGGTAAAATGTGCAAAAAAATGCAATGTAAAATTAAAATCACATCATGCAGTAAAGTCACCACAAAATTTAGAGGTACACATCTTCTATCCTTCTCTTCCATCCATTACATCTTTTTAACCTATTATGAAAAATCTTCCACAAGGTCTGACATAGGAGAAATGATGGTCTTGTGGTTAAGGAATGGACTGTGATTTTGGCTTAGTTCCTAGCTCTGCTATAGATGCTTCAATGCGATTAGGGGCAAGTCACTTAATTTTATTGTGCCTTAGTTTCCTGATATTGAGGATCAAGAAAGACTATGCTAGGCTGGGGAAGACACTTAAAGAAATAGCTCATGCAACTTGTTAGTTCAGTTATCATTTGAAAGAGAAAACTATTGAACACATCATCCAAAATGATCTGTGCCTTATCATCAGTTATATTTCTTATCCGGTTTATATAAGGAGTTCCCTCATGCCCATATATAGATCTCTATCCATAATCAAGAGGCAATTCTATTTTGGATTTGCTTTTGGCAAGTAGCAAGAATCTTATGGAAAAGTTGGCTATGGAAACTAACCTTGGATTGAGTATCATGAGCTGATTCAATTTAGCAAATATTGTAGGATAGATGGGAGCTGGTCTATAACTAGGACTTGGGACTTTAGAAGGAAGAATGTTGAGAAACTAAAGAAAACAGATCAACTGGATTCAGGAGTGTAGGAATTTAGTGCTGTATAGGCATAGAATTACTTTCAGTCCACAGGGCAAAGCTATCTGGAGATCTCAAAGAAGAATAAAGTGATAGGGAAGGGCTACTATCTTCCTTTGAATAATCATCTCAAGTAGAACATTAATAGTGGGCAAAGAATATTCAAGGAACAGCAAAAATGGATTAATGAGGAAGAGAGATACTTTGGAGGTTGAAAGGTACAGGGATAAGATGAGAATAGCAAAAGGCTGTTGGAAATGGACCTTGCAAAGAAAATGAAAATGGGCAGTCAAAGGTTTCCACTCATATAATCCAAAGGAGGACCAGGAGGGAAGAAGTAGGGACACTATTCACTGAAGATAAGGTGGAAATTAAGGATAATGTAAGTATGGCCCAAGTAGCAAATGAACATTTTGCCTTGATCATCAATAGAGACAAAGATAGAAATGAAATTCAAGATAAGGAACAAAATGGAAACAAGGATATAACAATGGAAATGACCACATCTGAGGTGGAAGTAAATCTTAGTTTGTTTCCTATGATGAAATGAAGGAGTTTAAATATTCTTCATCTGAGACTATCAAAAGAATTGGCACATGAAACAGCAAATACTACAGCCTGATTCTTTAATGCATCTGTCAGTTCAGAGATGGTATGCTGGGAGGGGGAGCAGGAATAGCTCAGATAACTACAGACCCGACATTTTGATTTCAATATTATGTATTATGCAAGATATCAAGCAAAAATACAATCAAGGATATGAAGCTAAACAGAAAATGGCACACAATACAACATGGTTTTATCCATGAAAAATTCTGTCAAATCTCTTGTATCCTCCTAGAACAGGATAACCAATTTTTTAGATCAGGGAAATGCAGTGAACCTAACCTACCTAGATTTAAGTAAAGTACTTGATACTGTGCCTCACAGGAAATTATTGAATAGAAGAAAATAGTGAGTAATACCATAATTCAAATGTGGATAAGAAGCCGGCTAAAAGGGCGATTTAGCAAGTTATGTCAACAGAAGAGGTGTTAGGCTGGAGAGGAGTTACTGGGGGGTCCCTGAAGGCTCAGTCTCAGGACCAACCCTATTCAATATTTTCATTAGTGACCTTGGTACTAAAGTAGATGCATGCTTCTGCAATTTGTGAACAACATGAAACTGCAAGGTATCCAATAGAGAAGAAAACTGGAATAATTTTCCAGGAAGAATTAGACAACAGTGGAGTACAATAGTACAAAACATACTACATGTACTTATGGAATAATACCAAGAACTTGCACTATAAGACAGAGACTCACATACAGATGACAACTGAGGAAGAGAGGAACCTCAGTTTTGTGGCTGATCAAAGGATGAGCATGAGCTGCCAATGTGATGCAGCTGTAAAATAACCTAAGGCAAACCCTTGTATTTATTAGGTAAGGCATTTCTATTAATAAATGGGGAATATTAGTTTCACTGTACAAGGCCTTCTGAGGCCCCATTTAGAATGCTGTATCCACTTCTGGTTGCCTACATTAAAAAAAAAAAGATTAAACTGAAAGAAGTCCATGGAAGGGCTATTGGGGTTGTTAAGGAGATGGAGAACCTGTAATAGGGGAGCAGATTGACTTGTTTGCTTATAAATACATTCACAGGGTGATTATCAAAGAGGAAGAGATATTTAAGTTAAAGAACAATGCCAATACAAAATTAGAGGGCTACGGATTGGTCATAAATTTCTACTGGAAATTAGAAGAATGTTTTCAGTCACTAGAGGAATGTATTTCTAAAATATTCTTCTGAAAAAAAGGGGAGGGGGAGAGGAATAAAGATAGGATTGTATGGTTCTTGGTGTAGTAGTCTGAGTATGTCATAAATGGATTTGAGATTTTGGGATCCCCGTGAAGGGGCTTCAGGAAAACCTGATCTCTCAGTGAGAATTGTCTGGAAATCCCATATTTGTGGGCTTTTACTGGTTTCCTGTGATGGCAAGGAAGATTTCCCCTTTCTATTGCTTCAGTATTATTTTTTTTTTTCTTTCTCCTTCCTTTTAAAGTGCTGGATATTGGCCACAGCTAGAGATCAGAGTTTGACTTGGGTATTTGAATGTTCCTAAGGGTACCAAAAGCCTCTCAGATATTTGTCGGGTAGATCTGGCATCTCATACCCAAGATCAAACTGATTGCCAAATTTGGGGTCAGGAAGGAATTTTTCTTCAGCCCAGATTGTCCTAGAGTATGGAGCTTTTTGCCTTTCTTTAAGTACGGCCATGGTTCTCTACCTAGGATCATCTAAGCATATGTTAACCTAATTTCCTGCCATTGTGGTGTCAGGGTGTTGTCCTTGTCTTTCCTTATTTGTGGTGGCACTCAACAGGTTTATTTTTTAACAAGGCACTGTTTAGCTGTGGCATGTATGAAGAGTTTGGTTTGATAGTCTAGTTGACCTTCCTGGGAAACTGGGTGCCTGCAAATGCAAGGGGATAGACTTATTAGCTGGGAGGCCCCTTTCAGACCTATTTTCCTAAACTGGAGGATAGTAGCATGACCATAACTCACAGGCGTGATACGACATGCTTTCCTACTATAAAGCAGGTAGAAATAGCAACTCTGAGATAAGCAAACATGCATCACCCGGCCCAGATATGGAAAAGATTGACAGATGATAGCTCTTTCTCAATTCTGTGGGTGGTGGTGCATGGCCATTCTTAGTTGGTGGAGCAATTTGTCTGGTTAATTCTGATAATGAACAAGACTCTGGCACCTCTGTGATGTGAGACTGCTAATGTACACACACACTATTGTAATAACTAAATTAGCCCCCCTGTAAACTAGTGAAAAGAATCCTTGTCTTTACTGTACCCCACAACATTAACAGCAGCAGCAATAATAGGAGTTTCTATCTCAGTTTCTCTGTCAAGCTCTCTTATGGCTGGGGAATAAGAACCTTTTCCAAACCAGTTGTTCTACCCCTTCCCTCCCTATACACACATTTCATAGATGCTTCATCAAACCTGCCTCCATTCTTTAAAAATAATCTATCCTAACCTAAAATCTCACATGTGAAATCTGCTTACTTGTCGTCTCTTTAGATTATGGCCAAAACCAGGCTTGTACTGGAAAGCTCATGTCAGCCAGAAGGACTAGCACTTCATACAAATCCAAATTTGGATCACCTTGCCCTCCCTTGAGATCCAGTCATGTCTGAAGAAAATTTTGGCATGTTTTTGTCTTTAAAAAAATGCCAGGTGAATTTAGTGCAGGTGATGAGTGCTGGGTTGCCTGCCTTGGTCACAATGCTTGCAGGAGGGTGGGCTAAGAATTTTCTATTAAAATGTTTTGGGGGTTTTGTTGTTGTTTTTTATTAATGGTGAATGAGGTTTCTCATGGGCATCCCATGTCTCCATTCTCTATGAAATGAGGTCGCCAGCTGGATTGCATCTTCTTTGATGCACTGTTTTGCCTCTTGGTTGAAAAAGAACATTGTTCATTGTTAACTGACTCCGTATTACATCAGAGAGGGCTCCTAGGCAACAGAGAAGAATAAAACTTAAGACACACAAACTACAGTTTCCATGATGCATTGCACTAGCTTAGCTGGACGTAGATTAATGTCTAAAAGGCATGCAGTGAAATGCTGCTTTTTGTTTAAACAATGGAAAGGAATCACTTTGATGTG